TTAGGGGACAAGTACACTAGCAACATTGTGATTGTTTCGGGGGTTGTTTGTTTGATCAGACGAATGGACTTTTGGATCGACTGTTTGGGTTGCGCTTGCTCCCAACGAATCGGTACCAGTATGCGTTCTCTTCATGATTGGTTTGTGAGGGGTGTAGGAAGACTGAGGTTGATTGTTGGAAAATTTGAGATGTTGGGTAAAGAGGTGGCAATTTGAGAAGGGCAGCAGGGTGGAAGATCAGCTGAGAAACTTGAACGGATGGGTGAGATGTGTGATGATTGGAGAGGAAAGCAGGAAGCAAAGAAGCGAAAAGTGAACGACAAGAATGGCAACCCCGGGGAGAACTAGGGGATTGTGTACTGAATGATTATGTAATCAAAAGTGAAATGAATAAGTGACTGAATTTTTGGAAGGTAACATGAGGAAATATCAAATACATATTTCCCCTGCGTTCCGACTTCCCACAAAACTCCCCATCCAATTGTGAATGACAATCCATAGTTGACAGAAGGCACAACTCAGAAATCATCTGAATGTCGACATAAAAATACGGGCCAATAGAAATTAAACGACTCAATGAATTATGAATGTTTGTAAATCTCATTTCCTGAGAGTTCCAAAAATGGCAGTTTTACTTGATCAAGTACAAAGATAAATCAAAGTACATAATGGACAGAAGAACGGATTGCAGTTTTTCATTCAAACAGAATACCCAGGGCCCAGGGCCTGTATATATATCTTGGGAAGAACTTCTGGTGCGCAAAGGCAGAAGTCAACTAGACCAACTGATACTCTACAATTAACTGTGTGGATACAAATATTATGAGTCCATAACTAAACTCTACATATGAATGAGGGGGAACTTTGTTCCTCATGAGTTCAATTCAAGTCCAGCCAAATGCAAGCAGGAATGCTTGCCAGAAGATAGTGAAATTTTGAATTACAGGAAGCAGTGAGAGAGAACATGGGACCTAGCACGTTATTGCAAGGGATTCATTACAACGGTGCATGTATACTCACTGAGTGTTTCAGATGTGGCAAAACACATCAATGATGGATTATCCGTAATAACAGCCACACATGTGATATGTGCAGTGAGAAAAGGATTCTGAGAAACATATAATTGGGTTGGGATATTTGTTGCCCCAAAATCCACTTGAGTATACCAGTTATGTACTGAGCACAGCAACATATCAGTAGTTAAAATCACATGAGAGATGTCCACCGCATTGTACGCGCGTACAATGAGGTGACCATGCCAAAATGTACTGACAAGGAATCAAAATTTGAGCCAAGGAACCATGAATGTTACATCGAAATTATGTATGTCTGTGATGTCACCAATGTTACAGTGGATCATGCAAGCACGCACTGTGTCTTTGTTTCCAATACCATCGGTGTTAATGGGGAGATGCATGCCTCAGATGACCATATGTATAGAACTGATGATAACAGTTGATTCCTTTTAGCATGATCTTTGCATAAGGTTGCACATTATTATGCAAGGAATGAATATGCATGTTACAAAATCGGTCGGTAATGCTGGAGAAATAGCTATAAAGGCAGGACCTAGGTCCTGGGTAGTGGCTTGAAAATCATCGATCCCCCCTCATTAAGACATTACTCTGGACTAGGTGCAATGCTATCAATTCTTGGAAATTGCTTTATAGAAAGGACCCTGTTCCACAGTTCTAATACTGATATCATCAGCTTCAATACAATGATCTTTTCACCGCGGGCTCAGGCTCAGACCTATCCTCAAGAGATGAGACATTATCATATAACTCTTTGGAATTCACCAAGAGAGCCAGCTTTTACAAACACCACTACAGAAATCATCTTTGCAGGAACACTCCTCCTCACCCAGAATAACCCCTTCCCAGTCATAATATCTCAAAACCGAAATTGGCTTCCGCATTCAGGACATCTGCGTCCAGCAGTCACATGGGATCAAGAGGAAAAATTACGTGTTAGGGGGACAATGATGATCACAAGTAATTATTCCGTTGGAAATAACGAACTTCAGGAAGGATTTCTTATGGCTGTAGATCTTGGTCAGAACAATGTATGTGGGTTTTCCAGTTCTCTGAGTTTTGCAGTATCAAGAAATATTGAATATGTGTGAAATACTGTTGCTTATCAGCCATCACCAATTCGCCTCATTGGGAATGCTCTAACAAACGAACCAAACCTTGCAAGATTCATGCCGGGAGATGAGGTGGAAATGATGGGATTTATTCATCCTGGGCAATATACCAGGGCGATAACAATCAAGGTGTGTTTGTTATTCATAAATTGGTATTTGGCAGGGTCCTATTGGGCCTAGACAAACTAGACCTTCATTAATCAGAGGGGGAGGTGGGGTTGCTCATTAGGTTCTCAGCATAAACCGTATCTCCAGAAATGCTGGACATAACCACCAGCTCCGGGAAGAACCAAACCGTCGCTTTAGATTAGACATACGCAACCGCTATTAAATATATCTGAATTTCATCTGTCAATTTCTGTAGCTGAAATTTGTCAACAATCCTTGAGTCAGAAGTTCTATTGACTCCTCTTACGGAATTCATGTCTTACTCGGATTCATTTTTGAAGCATTCTGGAGCTACCGGTAAGGTTTTGTTATCAAGTTTCAATTTTCTGTGAGATCCAAAGAACTCGTGTTGTAACCTCAATGCAGGCTTTGAATGTTATAATTGTGAGATAGGAAGGATGTTTGGTTGGACAAACATTGGCCAAGGGTCATAAATAATGGTTTTAGATTTATGCATGAGCTGGCAATTGTGCATAAAAAACTGCCAAAGAGAAGACATGGTATAACACTAGGAAGTTCTAATCAAATTCTTCTGCAGATGTTTGTGGCCCGGGCAAGCAGATTCACATTTATCCTTTGTAGATAGGAATATTTTTGCAGGTAGGGATCATGTGGGATATGTCACCACAACGTACGCGCGTACGTTGTGGTGGACATTGTGGTATACGTATACGTATGTCAGAGCTCATGCATACCACATGGGTCCAATTAAATGAGACGTAATTGCAATCGCCAAATGGCCCTGTCAAAGGCAAATTCTAACATGCAACAAACCAGTCCAAACCCACTATGCGTACTTGTGAGGCTAGAAATTGCGGGGAGTCAGATAATTGAGTAATTGAGATGTTGTTCACAAGATAAGGGAACAAAGGAGTTGTTCAATTCCATTGCGACTAAATCACTACACAATCCTGCTTATTCCACCGGTAAATGAATGCAGGGAAGCAGCAAGAAGAGGTTTGACGCCTTTGTTAGCAATAACCACGGTACAAGTGTCTGCTCTATCCTCCACTGTTGGGAGGAACAGGATGTGCCATATAATGAGGGAGTTTTAGATCAGTCTCTCCAGTGGCCCCAATTTCCACTACTCTTTCAAATTACCAGTTAGAAAACTACCCAGCTCTGACATAATCAACAAACTAGAACTATGATTGAGATAGCTGCCAACGTACATCTTTCCAACAAAATTAGTATACATGGTGTCGGATATGAATTGCATTTGAAGACTCCCATTGCATCTTACAATCTCAGCCCTCCACATTTAACCTATCAACAATATCATATTATACTTAAATCAACCAATGATGTAGTTCCTGCCATTCTCCACGATAGTTTCAGTCAAATCTTCCTTTTTGGGGGTTTAATCATATGTCCTCTCTCAAACGAACCAACCATTATTGTAGAGAGGTCAAAGTGGCAAGTTCACCGAGGTGAATTTGCTGACGTACATCACTACGAAAATGCCCAGCTTTTCGGGAGGGCTTGCGTTGAAAAGGTCCACCGGCATCCGTTTCGCGAGAGGATCACTCACGTTGAAGTTAGTGAAATAAAAAAGAGAAAGGTGTGTTGTGGGACATTATCCAAATGAACAATGATTATAGGCATTTGACTGAGCTAAAATTATGGTGTGGATCTGTTTGACCCATGACTCTGCAATCTCTGTGGATAAAGTCTCAATATGGCTGCATGCTTTTTTCTTCACTTAACTCCGAGGCCCTCGAAACTTTTCAAAATATTCAACCTGGGGATTGCATCAGCTTTGCAGGTGTGGCGGCAAAAGTGCCAAGTGCCTTGAGTGGATTGCTAACCATTGGTGTAAGTGTCCTTCTCCATTTAAAATTCACGATATAAATCAGACAGTAATGGTGTGGTTGATTTGTGGTCATATCAGGTTGAGTGTGTAACAAAACTTGATCGATCTGAAAGAACCGAATACGGCTTGAGGCCAAATCCGAAAAAGAGGTTCGAACTGAAAGTGAAGGACTGGAACAAGCACCGAGCCACCAAAAGACGTACCCCCAAAAAATTGTATCACAAAAGAAAATAAAAACTTCATTCCGTTTTATTTACACTACACAAGACCACATACATTAGGAAGATTGAGATGTAGTAGAAATTCAACACACCTTGTCATAGCTCTCCATTAGAAATGCCCATCTGTTTTTTTATGTATTGACAAATCTCCGGGTTTCAAATGATATCTGGTTTTTGCCTGTTGGAAAACTCATACGGGATACTTGAAGCCCATGTGATACTGCTTGCTGGAGGTGATTAGCCAGATGTAATTTTGTATTATCACCCACATTTGGCACCAACCCATTCATCTAACAATTTTCAACAAGTAGATAGACAGGTGGACCTTGAAAATGTCAAGGCCTGCAGCCAAAGCTTTGAATACGGACGATAACTTGTACATAGCCAGGAGATTGTGAAATTGGAGGTTGAAAAGCAATGGTAGGCTTCTGCACGGGAGAAAAGCTTGGGACAAATGTGGAATAATTTAGTTGCATTGAATTGGGCAACACCACCCAAAGCTCAGAACAACTGAGAGTCTGAGTTCAGACAAGGTGGAAATATGGGTGTTAACAAATAACAAAAAAAATGGTACGATTGAGAACACATGTGGGGAACGTGAGCTGGAGAAGAGGTTGTATAGGATCAATGTTGTATATACAAGGGGCCAGAATCAACTTTCTGGGATTTGACGAGCAGAGTGTGGAATAAGAAATGGCGAAGTGGGCTGGCAGTCTCTCCAGTGATTTAAAAAGTCAACTGTGATTGCCTCTGCAATCTCATGTCGAGTGGGGTTCTTCAATAGGTGAGAGATTTTGGTCGGGTTGCTGAAGGCAGGGGCAAATATTGTAACGAGGTAAGCTGCCAGGTTTTTCCAAATAGGTTCTGCGGGTGTGTGTGCCGAGGTTGAGTGTTGCTTGATGATGGTCATGGCTTGGATGAATGACATGCAATCAGATGTTGATGCACTACGGTAGTTTCTCGATACAAGGAAGAGCCCACGAACTCCCCCCAGGAGAAAGAAGATCAAGGGTTGGAAGTTTTGTCGGCGTTGGTAGCTAGCCATTTGTCGAGTGGATTCTTCTCGAACATTAGCCAACTCAGAAGAATCTCCTGGGGAGTTAGTGATGGCCCCGGCAGCAGGTCGAGCAGAATTGCGGCGGTTGCGGGATTCGGCCTTCTTCTTGGTTTGGGACAATGGTGCCTGGCTGAGTGCGTGAGTTTGAAAGATGATGTATGCTGCGTAAACATCAAGAATGACACTACGGAATTCGTGAAGAACATCGCCAGAAGAAGCTCGGGGGGCAGGCTGAGGATTGTCGGGGGAAGGGTCTGTGTCAGGAGTGTCAAAACTGGATGAAGAGTTCTTGATGGCTTCGATTTGTTTGAGTACCTGTACACCTTGTACAAGTTGGTCGTCGTTGTCAGTGATGGGGGCTGGTGGAGCGTAAAGATTGTCGGCCATCAATTCAACAGATGCAGCAACAATCTTTGACCATTCTGTGATTGATGGTTGGGAAGGGTGTGCGAGCCGATAGAGGAAACGGACTAAGGTCGACTCGGGATGTGGGGTCTTTGAATGAATCGAAATATGAGGTTCGGGAGGATTTTCTTTGTTTCTGAACTTGGCAAGCAGGTCAAAATCGAGCACATCGGGGCAGTACCATTGTTCATTGTGGGAAGGGGACAAGAAACCCTTTGCTACATGACAGAACATGATTCAGTGAATGTGTGGGTCAGGCAAGGCTGAAGGAGAGCAAAAGACTTACCCAACCCGCTGATTGTCTGAATCCAAGATGGGTATGAGCATGTAGTACGTTGGAAGTTGAACTCGTGCTTGGGTGGATCTGCAGCCTGCATTGATTGAGCCCAGAACTGAACCAAATTTGTGAGCAAGGTCCAAGTGGCTTGATGATTTCGATTCGCACATCATCAGACTTGATGATGGTAAGTTGACTGGGGTTTGAGGAAGCGGTCCGATTTGGTGGTTGTTAGGGTTCTTCTGAGGGGAGCAGGGCAGGATCTTCTGAGTTCGGGTTCGTAATGGTAGATTGCAAGATGAGGAATGTACAAGGTTCGGATCTCGAACGAACTCCAAGTTCGAAGTTCGTGACATGTACGTAACAGGCTCTCTACATATGTAACGTCCCCAGTTCCAGTCCTCCACAGCTCATAACACTATCCCCCCTTTAATGCCCAAGCCGCCCCCGTTGTTGTTCTAGAAAAATTTAACTATGGATAAAAAATAAAATAAAAAAATCCTCCTCTTTTGGCTCTGCATTCTTTCCCCGGGCAGCGTTAAAAAACCCAGTGGGAAAAAGCTTGCCCTCTCACTTCATTCTCCGTGACCTCTTGTGTCTTGACGCCGCATCCGGAAACTTGATGTTGAATTCGGCGACCAGTTCTCGACAGTGTTCCAAGTTGACCTCGGGTTCCCACGAGTTCTCCTCCGGTCCAAAGCCTTTCCAGCTGACTAAGTATTCGACCTTCTTCCCTCTTCTCCGACAGTCCAGTACGCCTTCCACTTCCCACTCCTCCTCATTGTTGATCTGTACTGGTTCTGGTGATGAATGGCGCCTTCCAGTGATAGTGTCCGGGTTGTGCTTCCGTAGTACTGAAACATGAAACACCGGGTGAACACCCTGCATGGATAATGGCAAAGTCAGCTTGTACGCAGATTGGGATATTTTCTTAGAAATTTGGAATGGTCCCAGCCATCGGTGGTCCAGCTTGGGGCTGGGTCTTGTTGTCGAAATATTCTTGCTGTTCAACCAAACCTCCTCGCCAACGTTCCAAACTGGGGTGTCCTTTACTCCTTTGTCGAATTGGGTCTTCATCGATTCTTGAGCTGCTTCTAGACATAACTTGAGTTCTGACTGGACTTCATCAATTTGCTTGAGTCGTTCTTCAACTACTGGCAGACACTGTTCATTTGATGGGATACCGCCGTAGGAAGGATTGAAGCCGTAGTTTGCTTTGAATGGTGAGACTCCGATTGAGACGTGATCATTATTGTTGTAAGCAAATTCTGCCGTTGCCAAGAGCTGTTCCCAGTTGTCCTGTTGGTACTGAACAAAGTGCCGTAGGTACTGCTCCACCGCCTTATTTGCGATTTCAGATTGTCCATCAGTCCTGGGGTGGTACGCAGTTGAAGGATGAAGCCGGATTCCAAGTTGCTTGTCTAACTCTTGTGTGATCTGAGAGATAAAAATACTTCCTCTGTCCGAGACAATTGTCTTTGGGGTGCCGTGGAGTTTCCAAACCTGTTTCAACATAAGATCTGCAAGCTGTTCGGAGTTTATGGACTTGTTGCAAGGAAGGAAGTGGGCCATTTTAGTCAGTCTGTCAATCACGGTGAGGATACTGTCGCAATTGTTGGATAGGGGGAGGTCTGTTATCAAATCGTAGCTAATGTCCGTCCACGGGCCTGCAGGGATGGGCAGCGGTTCCAACGTCCCAAATGGTTTCTGGGTTGAGGATTTGACCCGAAGACAAGAGTCACAACCATCCACGTAGCGGTTGACGAAGCTTTTCATGGATGGCCACGTGAAGCTGCGACGTATCAGCGAAAGCGTCTTTGATCTTCCTGGGTGTCCTGCTAACTTGCTGTCATGGCGGCTCCTCAGGATTTTGGTCTTGAGGTCTTCATTCCGGGGTACTTCAATCCGTCCGCTCCTGTAGAGCACTCCGTCCTTCACCGAGTAATGCTTGGTGGCCTCCTTCATTCGACTGGACACTGGGTTCTCACAGGCTGAAATCAATTCAGTCAGTCTGGAATCAGATGGAGTCAGAGATCGGATTTGGCTTATCAGTTCGCTGTCTGTTGGAATATCCTCTGATGGAGTGATGGGTTCCTCCACACCGAGAATGTCCACTTGGAACCAATGTTCGGCGTCATCCAGATCCACAGACTCGTCTTCAAACCAGCAGTCAAATTCAGCCACTTCAGCGAAGGTGTCGGGGGTGATGTTTTCGGGTCGCAGCAGTTGTCCAAAGGTGAGCTTGTCCTCCTTTGAAGGAGCCAAGTCGGGTCGTCTGGACAGGGCATCCGGTTTGGACGACTGTCGGCCCGGTCGGAAAACAATCTCGAAGTCAAAGCATCCCATGGTTTCGGCCCATCTTGCTTGTCTCCTTGTCAATTGTTTGGTTGTCATGAAGCTTTCAAGGTTCCGGTGGTCGGTGTAGACAATTGCTTGCAGTCGATTTGGGTTGCCCTCTAGATAGTGACGCCATTCCTTGAAAGACGCCACAATTGCCAGCAATTCCTTGTCAAAAATCTCATAGTTCTTCTCGGATTGGACCAGTGATCGTGATAAATAAGCCACCGGGTGGAGTTCTTGATCCTTGTCGCAGATTTGGGATAAGACGGCACCAAGTGCAAAGTCCGAGCAATCACATTCAAGGACAAAAGGCCTGTACGGGTTGGCTATCTTCAGTACTGGCGCTGTGGTGAACGCGGTTTTCAGAGTTTCAAAGGCCTTGTTGCACCGGTCGTCCCAGACGTAGGGAGTTTTGTCCTTGGTCAAGTCGTGGAGAGGTCGGGCTATTCCTGAAAAGTGGTCAATGAATCGCCGGTAGAAGTTTGAGAAGCCAATGAAACGCTGTAGTTCGGTCACATTCTTGGGCGGTGGCCATTCGGATACAGCTTTGACTTTAGTCGGGTCCATCCTCAGCCGGTTACATGATATCAAAAGTCCCAAGTATTCCACCTCTGGTCGAGAGAATTCACATTTTTCCGGTTTCAGCCAAAGTTGGTGCTTGCTAAGTGTCTCCAAAACTCCCATGACAGCCGCTTGGTGGTCGGTTCCCTTCTGCGTGTAGATCATGATGTCGTCCAGGTAGGCTGCCGTGTCTTTCCCAATCCGTCCCAACAGGATGTCCTGCATGAAATATTGGAAGTAGCCTGGTGCTCCTGTTGGTCCAAATGGCATAGTCAACGGTGCGAATTGTCCTTGTCGACAGACAAACGCCAGCTTCTCCTCATCGCCCTCTGCTACACGTAGGTTTCCGTAGGCGTTTCTCAGGTCGAGCTTGGTGAAGGTGTCGGCGTCAAGTAGGCTGTCAACCAGGTCCATCGTCAGGGGCAGGGGGTACTTGTTCTTCACGGTAACCGCATTGAGCTTCCGGTAGTCAAAACATGGGCGTAAGTTGCCGTCTTTCTTCCCGGTGAACAGCACTGGTGCTGCCCAGGGCGAAGTGGTTCGTCTGATGGTGCCATTTTCTAGACCTTCGGTGATCAGGGTGTCTAGTGCTTGGTTTTCGGCGGGTGACAGGGGAATAATCCTACTTGCTTGGGGAAGGGCTCCCGGCACAAGGTCTACTCGAAAGTCGTAGATTCTTCTGGGCGGCAGTTTCTGGGCACTGGACTTTGCGGAACATGTTGATATACCGGTGATAGTGGGTCGGGACTAGTTCTTCTGGCCGTCTTCACAGGGGTCTTGGCCTTGCTGTCCACCGCGAGTTGAGCCGATGTTGACCAAGA